TATATGGGTTTATGCATATGTATGTTGCATGTGCCCCATTTTAATGGCCACACCTGAGCTGAGCACAGTTTTTATGCTCTATAGTTTTGTGTATTTTTTTAATTAACCAAACAATCGCCCAGGCACGAGTGTGGCATGTGGCAAGTCCTTTGTGTCGCAGTCACATAATTTTGAAAACTTTTCAACAACCAGGAGCTGATGTGGCTGCTGTCGTTGCTGCTGCTGCAGCTGCTCCTCATCATCATTCATTTGGCTGACGAGTGAGCCACTAACCTACATCCTGCCCCACAACATGGCGCTGCTATTGTTGTTAGCCGGCATGCCACGCCCACTTGCACAATGCTAGTTGTGCGGGTGTTGATAAGCGAGAAAATGTGAAAAGTGGCAGCAGCAGCAGCAGCATCAGCCGAGAACGAGATGCCTCGAAATAAACGTTGCCAGGCCGTCGCATAACAAATGATGAGATTGTGCCGATTCGCTGCTAAAGCCGTTTGCCCCATCTCTATGCATAAATCAAAAGTTCAATTTTGCACATTTCAGCAGCAGAGCAAAGAGAAAACACACACATACACACACACAGACAGAGATGGATAGGCTCCTTGGCAGCAACTAAAACGCCACATGGGCAAATATTTCACTTCTGCTTTCGAGCAGCGCATCGAAAAGCGAAAATATTGTGACAACATCAGCAACAACAACAACAACGGCAGCAACAACAACAAGAAGAACAAGAAAAATCTCTAGTTTGAGTGCTTGTTGGGACGCTGCACTTGTGTGAAGTGCATAACAACGTGGAAATATTGTAAAAAGAGAGAGAGAGAGAGTCTGAGGAAGAGAGACAGAGAGCCAGAGAGAGAGAGAGATATACACAGTGACAGAGATAGATAGAGAGGGGGCATTGGTTGGGACAGCAGGCAATGCCAAATGCTTGGGCTACAAAGCAAAATGCAATAAAGCTCAGCGACGGCATAGAACACATCAAACGTGCTACATGCGACATGGGGCATGCCGCAGCTGCCGGAGTGTCACATCCTGCCGAGCTGACCATGCAAACAGTATGCATATTGATTTTTGAAGTGCTATGAGTTGATCAAGAGGCATATGCATTGAGCGAGAAACTAAAGCATAAAAGATTTTTAGAAATTAAAATGAAATTAATATAAAATATTTGTCGAAGAATTCGAAATTATCTAATTGATTTATTCGCTCGACTTGTCTAATAGCTACAGGGTATTTTCGTAGTCAGTCCTAAACAACTGTTTGTTCTTGTTTTTGGCTGCTGTCAAATGCAAAGGATGCCACAAAGCGAGTCGGCTTGTGGCTGCCCGTTTGACTAGAGTTGCCAACGTTCGGCTGTGGCCACAACTGCACTGCGCACAGAAGTAAGCTAAGGGTTAGAAGCCTAGAAGGCAGCATACTGTGCGTATACGT